GAGGACGAAGTGAAGTAAAGCTGAAGTGTTCGGTTCGCTGTCGGCCTATGATATCCCGGTGCAGGCTGGCAAGCGGAAACCCTCAGGCGCGTGGCTGTCTCGTGTTTTGGGGGCCCACCCGATGCTGCTACCTTTGCAACAGTTGCGGAGGAGGACAGCTCGCCCTTCACAACCCCCCGCCTGAGCACGTTGTTTCTTGGAACAGTATTGCGGGTACCACCGTTTCCACTCTCTCTCTCTCTCTCTCTCTCTCTCTCTCCCCCTTTCCACGCTGATTTTTGACTGCGACCTGGACCCCACGATGCAATCACGTTTGTTGGATCCGCGCTCCCTTTGTTTTCAGAACTACGTCGCCCCCGAGGTGATAAAGGGCCAGTATCACCCGGCTCCGGCGGATATGTGGAGTCTTGGGGTCGTCACCTACGTCCTGATGAGCCGCATGCTACCGTTCGACGCCGACACCACGGAGGGAATACAACGCAACATCTTGTGTGAGTCTTGGCGAACTAATGCTGCCTCTGAATTTTGAGCTGGCGTTGTCGTTGTCGTTGTTGGCTGCTGGCTGCTCTCTTGGTACTTGTTGCTTCTGTTCGTAGATAACTTTTTAACTTTTTGAGTTTTTTTTATGCTATCATGCGGTTGCTGTACTGGCCCTCATCCTAGGCCTATTCATTATTCCCACTGTTTCCCGTTCATTTGACCACGTTTGTTTCCAGCTGGGAGGTTCGTCTTCAAAGGGGGTGCGTGGGCTGGGGCGAGCGAGGCTTCGAAGCACTTCGTGCGATCCCTCCTGCTCAAGAGTGCCGACCTGCGCCTCACGGCGGCGGGGGCCCAGAAGCACGATTGGCTTCGAGAGGCAGAGGACTTGTCTCAAACTCCGCGGAAGGACTCGACCTTTCGCGAGGAGGTCACGCGATCGCTGCTCAGCTTTAGGTGGGAGAAATTCGAAGGGGGCTGTATCTAGTGCTGGATGCTACTGGTCCCGTTGGCCAAGTCATTGGTGGTGTGCATGCTCTTGACTAGCTTTTCGACGACTATGGCCCCAATCGTGGTCAATCTGCTCTAGGAGCCGTTCCCGTAGGCTATGGGGCGGCATGACTGAAGAACCATCGGGCACTTGCAACGTCGAACGCGTTGAAAACTCGTTCGCCTCCGCCGCCGCCCGGCCGTCTGTGTGCGGCATCCGCGTGCGTCGTGTGTGGGATTCGCTTGGTTTTGTTCGCCCCCTCCCTACCCCCCCGTCCCCCGCTAGCCTCAGCTGGCGAAAACCCGGCATGTCGCTCCATCTTGGCATTGTAGGGATGCGAGGTCAATGGTCGAACGACTACGGCATGCGTTTACATGAACCCCCCCCCCGGACAGGGAAGCGAACCCGATGAAGCAGCTAGCGCTCGAGGTAGTGGCGCGCACCCTGGACCCGACGCAGATACGCCAGCTGGCCGAGGAGTTCGATCGCGCCGACAACAACAACAATGGCGAGGTGGGCGATCCCCCGTCAGAAGTGACATGTTTAGTGCTTCTTTCTTTTCTGCAAGCCACTTCTTGTTTGACAATTACGTGTGTGCAAACCACCGCCATATGGTCCGGTTTCGTCGGGCAGCTTCCCGTGAAACACGTGACGTGATCTTCGTCTCTCCCCTTTGCCGCCGAAATTACCAGGTGTCTCTTGCTGAGTTTAAGCGATGGCTGGAGGCCAACGGTGCGGCCAGAGGCATGGCCGACGAGGACGTGGAGGCGTCGTTTAACTCAGTGGACGTCGACCACTCCGGTACGGTTGGTGCGGACGAAATCGATGCTTTATGAAAGGAATGCATGCAACGTTGATGCGCATCTTTGTGATGGCATCAAGCCGCGGCGTGGTACATGATGAGTTGTATGTCGAAGTAGCGTGGCGCCTCTCGCAGAGCGGGTTCGTTTTTTATTATCTTCTCTTGCCAAGATGATGATTTTTGTCAACTTGGCAACGTACTCCCCGTCGCAACACAATGTTTGCGAGGACATTGCCTAAAACGCTAAATAGTACGACAAGGGTCAACGTCGTGGTTGACAACGTTTTCGGTTTTCTGCTCTTGTGCGCCTGTGTTGGCGACCTGTTCGTGCGCTGTCCGTCTTGCCTCAGCAATCGTGCAACTCTTCGTTTTCCAGCATCCGGCAGGATGCTTTAACGCCAAACGTTTGGAACATTGGCGGGCACCCGTATTCCCACATTTCGGGGGTGCATCATAGATTTCTACCCCTCGTTTCGAGAAGCAACCAGAACTGCCACGCCAAAGTACTTCCCCGCCGCCTCTCGTGTCGTCGTCGGTTCCTCTCAGGTTTCATACACTTCAACGAGTTTCTCGCCGCGACGATCCAGCAGCGGCACATGGACGAACAGTCCCTGCGTCCGGCGTTCGATCGCCTCGACCGCAGCCACACGGGCTTCATTAACCTCGACGACGTTACCCTCACCACGGGGGCCGCGGCCAACGAGGAGGAGTCGAGAGTCCTCGTGGGGCACTTCGACATGAACGGAGACGGACAAGTAAGCGAGAGAGAGAGAGAGAGAGAGCGGACCTGTAGCACGCGCTGTGTAGGAGCGGGACGTGTAAGCAACCCGGCAGGATAGGTACCTCCATGTGTCTAGGAATTGTTTTACATTCGTGGGCCCGGGTTTAATAGGGCGGTTGGCCGGTGTAGCGCGGGTGAGAAATCTCTTGGCACAGATAAATAGAAAAATTAAGTAGTTGTAAACCCCGAATTAAAGGGCGGGTGCCCACTATATAGGGCGGGTGGATCGGCCTCAGGCGTATCCGCAAATTCGAAGTCCCACGACTGTTTTTCAACGACGACTTGGGACTAATGACAGTTGCTGTCTTGAACTCGAGTCGCATCGTCTTCCCCCGCTGAGCTTGCGACCCCGTGTTGCCCCCCTCCGGCGTCCGCAGATCAGCTTCGAGGAGTTCGTGAACGGCATGCGAAGAATGGGAGGCTCGTCACGAGACGGGGGGGGACTGCTGTCGATACCCCCAGCTGCCACCCCCGCCCCCCCCGCCTCTGCCTCGGGCAGCCCGCGGGAAGATGCCACGACCGTACCAGAGAGGGAACCGGGTGAGGAGGAGGAAGTGGGAAATGCAGCCCCTGCGAAAGAAGAGAGCACAAACTGCGCAGAAGGGACAGGACCAGACGGAGAAGGCGAAGAAAACTCTAAAGTCTTGACTTTGGCGGAAACGCGAAGGCCCGAGCCGCACCAGCCTGAAGCGCTGAGAGATAGGGTCAACGACGAGCGTGCTGGGAGCGCGGCCGCGGGAGGAGTTGATGGGAACCTGTTCGCGGTCGACGCCAATGGTAATGTCCATGGCCCGCCGGTTGAGCTTGATGGAGATGACGCGGTGACACGGGGTGGTGTTTCCGCTGCTGCCGCCAGCGCAGCAACAGCAGCAGCAGCAGCAGCAGCAGCAGCAGCAGCAGCAGCAGCCGATGGTAGCGTGCAAGCCACAGTAGATCGCGAAGCGGCCAGCGAGGAGGCCCTCGCCTCGGCACCCAAAGTCGTTACCGACGGGATCATGCAAGCGTCGCAGGAGGACCAACAACGTATCGGGACAGACGGTCCGTCGGAGGAGGGGCGCGGTGTGGCGATCTCGCGGGACCCCCGGGGGGATGACAAGGACATCGCAGCAGCAGCAGTGGTGGGAGCAACAGCGGCGCCGAAACAAGCAGAGGCTCACATGGCGAAGGACGTCGGGGATAGTCGAAACCAAGAAGTTAGGGTTGTAGAAGAAAATGAAGCGAGACAAAGTAGGCGTCAAGGTAGTGCCCATCATAGACGCGATGAGGCAGGGAAGGCGCCCCTGCAGGAGGGGCGAGGGTGCGGGTGTGTTGTGGCATAGAACAACTACAGTAATAGAGGTGTTTGGTACTGGTAGTCGTATCGGGGGGGGGGGTAGAGCTGGGGAAAGAGATGGAAGTGTGCTGCTAGGGTCAGGGTTGTAGGTTTGATACGCGGTGGCGTTGTGAGTGCTTGTGTTGCGGAGGATGGCACACGTCATTCGTTTCCTGACGTCGTTTAACCACCCGTTGTAGCGTAGATCTTCAACAGTTTTGCAAATGGAAGGACTGGTAGGTATCGCTGTGGATGACACCGCGCCCAACCCTTGGGAGCAAGATCTCGCGCGTTGGAATTCTCGTTTTCCTGCTCGCCGGTCCCCTTGCGCGAACACAGAGACTTGGCGGGGGGGGGTCATCGGTGGACACATTGCCCGCAAGTGATGTGAGGAAATTGGGGTTTAAGTCTATCCTCGTGTGTGTATTCGAGCACCTTGACTTTGCAACGAGAAAGTGAAGTATCTTGCGATCCTGTCCCCTTTTTCAGACTCTGTTCTGAGTTCGGTAAGACAACAATAGTGGTTGATCCAGAGAAAATCCTGTTAGGTACCCCCCTCGACCCCGAGGTGACCTTGCCATATCTGTCGTTGGGTGTGTGCGAAATGTGTCTTCCTTCTCAACGCCAAGAGCAACACCCCTTGGTAGAATTCTCGCGTCTACCTAGAAACCCACAACCAACAAGTTGTACGAATCTCATCAGTAGGTTTCTTGAACAGAAACAACAGAGGAGCCTCTGACGTGCCCACCGTCATCGGTTACCTTTCGCTTCCATCGCCGGCTCCCCTGCCCACAGCTTGTCTTGCAAGTCATCGCTAGCGCTTGAACTGTAACAAGCACGGTGACTTCGTCGGGCATGGTGTCCGTGACGCCCGTCTGTTGCGCTAGCCATTGTGTTTGATGACTCGGTGGGCCAAGCGCGTGGGCATGCGGCGATAGGCGGGCCGAAGTACGGCTCGGACAAGAAAACCGCTTGGCGTGTTGGCCTTCGCGAGGAAGTCGGTGTACCCCGCTGAACCATCGGCAATGCTTTGCAGTCATGATGAGTTCGTGGAGCACCGTTTCGTTGTGAGTCTTTGCTTTCGGCGCGGTGTTCCTCCTCGTTCTCCATAGTGTCGAGTCTTCTCGAGCCGGCGTGTTTCCCTTCCAAGTATCTGCCGTTGCACTGAGCAGAGGAATCGTCTGTTCCCTCTCTGGTGCACGGCCCGAGCTTGCTTCCGGTATCTTCGGTCGCTGCTCGCCTTCTGTCTCCACTGCGTCCCTGAGAGGCCGGACCACGTGCTGGTTCCGAGTCCTCATCCGACGACCACGGGTTGTCGGTCGCTTCCCGTTTACTGCCAGTCGACATGCTCTCCCGTCGCTGGCTCTTCATCTCGCCCTTCTCCTCAAGCTCGACGCTAGTTTGTGCGATGGTTGATTCTTTCAGGCTTATCAAGACGGGTTCTGTCAACGCCATGGGCTTTCCCCTCCAAGTCACGCATAGAGCCGCACTGCTTCCCTTGCTATCACGACCAGCTGATCCTTTGACCATAAAACCACGAGAGTTCGCTGATGGCTCTGGGGTTGCGGTGCTCAACTCTACGGCGGCCGGTTTTGCTGGGCGGTCAGGCTTCCCTGTGTCCTGGAGAACGCGGTTGTCGCTCCCACCAGACAACTCCAGCGATGTCGTCCCGGGTGCGATCCCGTCGCCGTTCCGCTGCCCCTCTCCACACCCTCCCTCCATCTCCTTCTGGTCTTCCTCCTTATTCTGGTCCACGCCTTGCGGCAGAATTTTCATGTCCTCGGTGTCGCTAGAGCTTGGATGTCCTTGTTCGGCCCCAACAGCTGTTTGTTCGCGCTTTCCTGATCTAGACCCGCTTCTCGTGCCCGCCGGCATGCCTTCTTCCTTTTCGGATACCGGTGCTGCGGAAGGATTCTTTTCCGTCTCGTCGCTTCCAGAGACCCTGGTCGTCTCTTCTTCGGTCAACTCTCGATTCGAATCAAACCGCTCACTTGTTGTCCTCATCTGGCCATTACTTGTTGTGCCTTCCGCTTCCCTTCCTGCATCGCTCTCGCCGAGCAAACCTTCTCCGTCGATTTCCTATATTCGTTCATCGGTAAAGAGATGGATACTGTTATTTGGGGGCACGGAAGGACACGCACACCGACTTACTCTTCGCAGCCTCGTGCAGGTATTTAGGGAGTGGCGAAACGTACACACACGCACGGGGACGCCGCTGTACTACGAAACATGTAACACCACCGCAAGTTACTTCTTGACATTGATTGCTTGGCCAAGCGTGTCATAAAGCGTGGTAACCCAAACAGCCACCTGGGGGCCCTATACCCTACGCAGTCGAGGCAGTACACCATCCGCCCCGTTCCATCTGACTATTTGTTTTCCTCGGCCCATGGCTGGTCTCTTGCCCGAAACAGAAGGGACTGGGGAGGCGATGAAGGAAAAAGGCTATGCCGTTCATCGTCAACCCTGAGGGGGTACTGTATGGCGACAGGAGAGGGAGGCAAGAGGTAGATGGACGGCCATGATATTCTTATGTTCTTCATCAAACAATAGATAAAATAGACGGATTCCTTGCATATAAAAGTCCATGCGGTCACGCACCTCGATTGCTGGTTGTGACTCGCTCCCGGGAAGGCGGTTTCCGTTCGCCGATGCCCGACGATGGTTCGTACGCGATGTTGCTAGCAAATGCTCTGTTTGTTCATTTTCGTCGTCATGCAAGAGAGATTGGTCTGCACTCTTGCCTGAGCTAGTGGAGCCAACGAATCCTTCTCCTCCTTCATCACCAGAGGTGTTCGAAGCCTTTTCGCTGGTTGAGAGACGATGCTCCGCAGCCGTAGAACTAGTCTCGAGGTTTTCTTCCGTTTGCTGGCTTGCTAGCCGGGTAGCTCCACCTGCTGACGTTGAGTCTATCTTCTTGTCGCTGGCAGTCGCGACAACAACGGCGACAGGGGAAGGAACCAAATGCCACACTCCATGTTCTTCGTCAAAGTGAACCTGGAGTTGACGGGTGCTTGCCGTCGTGAGCACACAGCATTTGTCAACCAGCGTGACGTCCGCCTTTTGGATGGGCACGCCGCGGAGAGGGGGGCAAGTGGAGAAAAGAGGCACACGCGCGCTTTGAAGTCAACCACCACGGTGATTGTGAAGTTCTACAGACGCACAGGCAGCCTCTATTTTCGGTGATGAGATAAACACGAGAGCGCACGCACAGGTGACGAAGCGTACGCCCACAGGCCACATCTCATTCGTATTGGTCACTCGTCGTGACATCACACGTGGAATGCATACAATTTCGACGCTGAGAGCTTGCGTTCGGTTTCATGTCAGAGCAAATGGTTTTGCTAGCAGCGCACTCAACATACCGTCCCTGTTGCCGGAAGGGCGAACTCGACCGGAAAAATCACGAGTGCAAACTGCTTGGATGAAACTGGGACGGTGTAGCTGTGATGTTCGGCGCCGAAGACGAAACCTCATGAGTATTTTGCTCTTTTTGATGCGCAATGCAAAAGACGGTGGCTGGAGAATCGTGGACAACGTGCCGACCCGACCAAGGATTAGGACCCCGAGAGGAGATGGGAGTGATGGGGTTCCTTCTGAGCGGAGGTCAACGTTATATTTTCCGGGGTTACCAGACGGGGTGATGGATTGTACAGGACTCCGAGTGGCGGGCGTGTTGGCGACAAATGGTTTCCTATCGTCCGCATGTTTGCCAACATTCCGCTGCCTACCCAGCACGAACTACAAAATGCCGGCCGACTTATGGAAGTAAGAAATAT